TAGTGTTTTCTTTTTCTCCTCTCTCTCTTATAAACGACCAAACGTTAAAATGAAACGCTCGGCACTCTTGCGCGCCAAAAAAGAATGAACTTTTTTCAAACGAGCGAGGACTTTGCAGATGGACGACTAACCAACAGGATGTTGCTTTGGTTATAAAATAACAAAACCCATGAAGTGAAGAGCTGTGGATAAACATCATGTCCAGTGTTTGAGTCCTGTAGGCTAGTTTGGCAAATCACGAACCTCTCATGAGGAAAAAAAAACAGATGATTAATTGTGAATAGTGGACGATTAATCAGGTAGGTCTAAACATGTGGTCGATTAGTCACAAATAATCTGGTCTTTTGTCAATTAATCAGGTATAATGGCTGACTAAACACAGCCAATGCATGATTAAGCTGCTGTTGTGGCAATTTATTAGTTATGACAAATAACTTGCTGCAGTTTTGTGGCCGATTATTCGATAATTTGGCGAATAATCGGCTAGTCACAAATAATCTGGTATTTTGTCAATTGATCGGGTATAATGGCTGACTAAACACAGTCAGTGCATGATTAAGCAAGTGTTGTGCCAATTAATGACTTGCTGCAGTTTTGTGGCCGATTATTTGATGACTTGGCGAATAATCGGTGTTACATGTGACTAATCGAAAAACTCTTGTTGATCAATCTAGTATTTGGGTGATTAATCAGGTATTATGGTTGGCTTAGCTCAAACAGTGGCCAATTTAATCTGGTATTTGGGCAACTGCGGATGCCTGTTAGTGAATAACTGACGATTAATTGTAAATTTTGGCCGATTAAGATAAAATATTTGGGGGAATCGATGTGTGTTAAGCTGTTTCTCAAATGAAGGTGACAGTACAGCTCTGTATCAGCCCCAGTATCAGTGTAAAAGAGTTTTGCCGATATATATTTTTTGTAAGCTTAGTCCAGGACTGGGTTTTTAATAAAGTGATCTAGTCTAGTATGGATAAAATGTAAGTCTATAGGATAAACACAATATTAATGTACAGGCAATAATGCAGCGAAATAATCCCTCTGAAGCCTTAATCTGTATTTCTGTCTTTGGAGAGAGCGCATGATTTAAAAAAAGGCTCCAAAAACATCTGCAGTCCGTGTGGAGAGACTGTGATCACATCTGGAAAGATGAATGTGTTATTTCAGTTTTTGGACAGGCTGAAGGTCAGTTACTGAAAGGTTGGTGGTAAAATGCTGCTGGATTTCACACATTCCAGGTGATTGACTAAAAAAAAAAAAGTGACATAATACTAAAATGCATCCTTAAACTCAAGAAAATTCCTCATGGTGATGAAGTGGGATGTGATCGTTGTTTCCTGGTCTGAAGTGTGTATCAGTTCAGTGGTATGTTATCATCACTGAGCAGAAAGCAGATCAGTCGTTGGCTTTAAGGCCGCGGGACGTGTGTGTAACGTTCTCCTCACGCTGGGCGGGAAACACTGTAAAATAAGGCTATATTTTGGTAAAGGAGAGACCTCCTTATTTTTTCATGGTGACTAAAGTCATTCAGGGCTTTCTGTTGCGTTTTCTCTTATTTTCTATGAACGTAAAAAACTAAGCCTTGCTCTCGGTCTCACTCTCAAAAGATCTTTCCCTGCATTTTTTTTTCCTGGACTGTATGATGACCAATAAACCACATTTCAACATGAAACTCTTGAGGGGCTTTGCTTTTTTGCCTTGACTGGGGGGCTGCACACCTGTTTGTAGACCTAAAACTAAATTTTTATTTTTTGTGATTTGTGTTATACAGTATTCTGTAGACTAGCGCTGTATCCATCAGCCTCAGTGGTTTAACAGAATTCACAATTTTATATCATCTCCATGTTTTTGTTCAGTGTTTTCTCACTACAATACCCAGCATGCATAGAGACAAATACATCATAGAACCACTGGGATTCTCTGTGCTGTCACCCAATCCTGCTTGCTACACACTTAAAAAAGATGGGTCTTCAGTAAAGACAAAGGTTCAGTATAGAACCATGAACACTCAAAGAACCCTTTGCACGCTTAAATGGTTCTTAGCATGGTGAACCTGTTGTTCAGATTGATGGAGAATGTGCTGTAGATGGTTCTTCGTAGCACCACAAAGTGTTCTTGTATTGTAACAAGCCTGACATTGCAACAAGAAGAACCCCTTTTGGTGGGAACCCTTTTCAAAAAGGTTCTATATAGAACCATCTACAGCACATTGTCCATCAAGCTGAAGAACCCCTTCTCAATGCCAAGAACACTTTAATCATGCAAAGGGTTCTTTGAATGTTCTACAGCCACTGTAGACTCCCCAGAGACTTCCTATAGCCATTTTAGACTCCCTATAGACTTCCTATAGACATGTTAGACTCCATGTAACTGCCCATAGCCATTTTAGACTCTATAGACTCCATGTAGACATTTTACTCTCTAAAGCTATTTACGACTCCATATACACTCCATATAGCCATTTTAGACTCCCTATAGACTTCCTATAGCCATGTTACACTCCCTATAGACTCCCTATAGCCATGTTACATCTAGAGACTCCATAGCATAGACTATCCTATAGCCAGGTTACACTCCCTATAGACTTTCTATAGCCATGTTACACTCCCTATAGACTCCATAGCGTTTTAGACTCCCATAGCCCCTATAGCCATGTTACACTCCGTATAGACTCCCTATAGCCATGTTTACAGCAAAACATACACCCTATAGACTTCTATAGCCATGTTAGACTCCCTAGACTATAGCCGTTTTCCTATAGCCATTAGTTACACTCCCTATAGCCTTCCTATAGCCATGTTACACTCCGTATAGACTTTCTATAGCCATGTTACACTGCCTATAGCCATGTTACACTACCTATAGACTTCCTATAGCCATTTTAGACTCCCTATAGACTTCCTATAGCCGTTGTAGACTCCCTATAGACTTCCTATTGCCATTTTAGACTCTCTATAGACTTCCTGTAGCCGTTTTAGACTCCCTATAGCCATGTTACACTCCCTATAGTCTTTCTATAGCCATGTTACACTCCCTATAGACTTCCTATAGCCATTTTAGACTCCCTATAGACTTCCTATAGCCATGTTACACTCCCTATAGTCTTTCTATAGCCATGTTACACTCCCTATAGTCTTTCTATAGCCATGTTACACTCCCTATAGACTTCTATAGCCATTTTAGACTCCCTATAGACTTCCTATAGCCATGTTACACTCCCTATAGTCTTTCTATAGCCATGTTACACTCCCTATAGACTTCCTATAGCCATTTTAGACTCCCTATAGACTTCCTATAGCCATGTTACACTCCCTATAGTCTTTCTATAGCCATGTTACACTCCCTATAGACTTCCTATAGCCGTTTTAGACTCTACAGACGTCCTATAGCCGTTTTAGGCGAGGCTGGTGTCTCTCTCTCTCTGAGAACTCTTGTCTGTGTTGTGGTCTCAGTTTTGTGACAGCCTTTCTCACCATCAGGTGTCAGATTGGTCCGGGAATCAAAACCATCACTGACCACAAACTGCTCCCTGAGAGACATCAGCCGCCTCAGACGGTCTACCATCATTAGACTTAGACTAGACTACAGCTAACACACTCTCTACAGGATAAGAGTTAAAGAGAGAATATAAGAGTCCGTTACTGTCTTAAAGACCTGCCTCTAATGCTAACCTGTCAGCTGTACCTTATTAAATTAGCTAGCATGTATACTGCAGTAAAGCTGTTTCTAATAACCGCTGCTGAATTATTAAAAGGCTACATTTGGGCCCCTCAGCCGCCCGCAGATCTCCGGATCACCGGATTCTTTCTAATCATCTCGGTTCGGTCCGATCATATAAGGAAAACAGACTGGATCACTGAGGGAGATCCGAGAGCGGGCTGAGGAGAAACGCTTCACCCGGAAAATAAGGAAGAGCTGCAAACAGAGGCAAAATAAAAGTCACGCACTGTTTTACCAACTTTAACCACCAGAGGGCAGCAAAGTCTCTAAATTACACCACATATCCACCACCAGGCGCGTTGGATGACCCGGTCCAAAGCTTCCTTTCTTCATTTTATACGTACTGGAATTGAAATTAAATAATGAATTTGACCTCAAAATGCAGAAATACTATGCGGCACAGTTAACGGAGAATTCCATCATTTAGAGACATTCAGAGTGGTTTGGTGTGAAATGGTTCAGATGTCTTTACAGCGGTGGTGATAGGAACCAGGGGTCGCCATGACTATAACACAAATATTGTCATTTTATTTACTATCCAAAACCACCAGTGAACCTACACGAGTCTTCTGAGTTTATATGGAATGTGGATGATGGAAAATAGTGGCAAATCTGAAATAATAAGTTCTTTGGGGACTATTTTGCCTCACAACACCCAGCATGTATCCCTCCACCATGAATGGATTAAAATAAATTGATTAAAATACATTTTAAGTCAAAAGCTTATCACAAAATTATCATAAAACAGAGTCTCAGTCATCAGGCAGTGAATTCATAACCATTTCATGTAGTAACTTTCTGTGAGGGAGCTTTTAGAGGTGGACGTCTGGTTCCTATCACCACCACTGTGAACAGTTCTGACTCTGTAAGTTTCTCTAGAACAGAGTGTTTCACACCAAACCACTCTGAACGACTGTTTATGTCAAATATTTAATTATATAGAATTTTTTTTTAAATCTTGGGCAGGATGTAAATCAGCCCCACCTTGGCTAATTCATATTGTTCTTACAGCCTTCCGAAGGTTGTGTTGATCCACTGACGTCCAAAATAACCAGCTCCTAGTCATCTGTAACAGCAGATAAAACAATGTGGATGCCAAGAATCAAACATTATGGACGGCTCGGCTCTGCTAGCCAATTTACACCAGCCGCCCCCGATCCCAGCATAGGCCGCGCCCCTGTGACCAGTGATTGGGTGGTCATGACTGAGAGTGGAGGTTTATACTTTCCACTGTCAGCAGAGGCAGTGAGGTTTTTCACTGCTGCTCAGTGCCACTGGACTACTGTGCCTCTTGTAGCTCAGCTTCAGAACCAGAGTGAGCTGTACAGCCCGTTCCTCAAGGAGTCCCTGGATGAACCACCAGCTCCTGAACGGCCTTTTGACTATGACCGACTTCTGTACTTGGACTGCTTTTCATCCATTCTCTTGGTGGGTGTTCACTAACAGCCGTTTTCAACTGATGAGTCATCCTACAATTAGGGGTTACATTTGACATCAGGTAAAAAGGAGTTCCTGGATAAATCAGTTATTTTTCAAAGTACTGTTGTACTTTATTTCTTAGCTTTGATGCACTCAGTAATGCCAACTATGTTTTGGACAAAGTGGTGTCATTTTTGTAATAGTTTGGATCTCACTTTATTTGGATAGTCCACTACAGTCCCCTATAGATGATCTACAGATGTTCAAACTGTTAACAAACTATCAGTTGAAACTTCATTCTAAACAGTGGTGGGGTTAGGATTTGGACCAGGGTGAGGGTTGGGTTCAGGTTTTGGGTTGAGATTAAGGTTAGGGTTAGGATTAGAGCCAGGTTTAGAGATATTTAGTAGATATTTAGTTTAATGTAACTTGAAAGTAAATGAAGTATCTAAAAGCATCTTTATTTGGATATTCCAAATAAAGTGTTTCCGAGCAGAGAGAATAACAAGTAAACCGACTGGATGAAAAGTTATTATTTTGGAGTTGTATATTTGGTTTTTCTTTGGACAGCAACAATATACTTTTTAGGGTCGTCCTCACAGGTGTCACCACATGAGCGTTTTCCTCTCAATATGACGTTGTTTTACTATGGGTATTAAAAATAGAAAATAAAAATAATATTAATAAAAAATAGCTAGTTATCCTAGTTGACAGTTAATTAACTTACTCAAAGGGATTCAGGTCAGGACTTTGACTCGGCCACTCCAAAACCTTAATTTTGTTTCTTTTGTGCCATTCAGAGGTGGACTTGCTTGTGTGCTTTGGTTCATCGTCCCACTGCATAACCCAACATCGCTTGAGCTTTAGGTCACAAACTGATGGGTGAACATTCTCCTTCAGGATTTTCTGATAGAGAGCAGAATTCATGGGTCCATCAGTTATAACAAGTCATCCAGGTCCTGCAGAAGCAAAGCAGCCCCAGTTTTCTCCATTTGTGGATAACGGCTCTCACTGTGGTTCACTGGAGTCCCAGAGCCTCAGCAATGGCTTTGTAACCCTTTCCAGGCTGTGAGATTTCAATTACTTTGTTTCGCATCTGAATCTGAATCTCTTTAGAACGTAGCATCATTTGCTGCTTTTTGAGACCTTCTAGCTGCTTCACATTAACAGACAATTTCTATTTAAGTGTTTAGATTCAACAGGTCTGGCAGTGGTCATGTCTGGCTGTGGCCGGTGCAATTGAACCCAACAGTCAACTAAATTTGGTTAGCCATTGGCCCCTAAGGGGCAAATACTTTTCACATAGGGCCAGGTAAGGCTGAACAGCGTTTTTCCTTCAATAAATGAAATCAACATTTAAAAACAGCATTTTGTGTTTACTTGGGTCATCTTTGTCTAATATTATTATAATATGATCTAGAACTTTCAAGTCTGACAAATATGCAAATATTAGAAGAAATTGGGTAAGGGCGCCAGCACCGTAGACTATGAAGATAGTTTAGGTGAGCTGCATGAAGTGCATGTTTTCTCAAAAGGCTGCATGGGTCAGTGTCTGAAACCACTTATCACCTTGGGTGATATACTGCACTTTACAGTCTGGTGTACGCTGTCGGAGCTAAAGCTAAAGCTAATCTTACCCTATGTTACTTTATTTTGCTCTGCAGTGCTGTTGTCTGTCGGGCCTGTGGAGTCTTCTGCCATGTTCATCGAAGCGAAGCTGCATGTTGCCTGTCCGTTAGAATACATGGATTATTGCTTTGATGGGATCTGTTACTACAGTCCAGAAAATGAGCCGTCTTGCCTGTAAGTACCAAGTAGTTCTACTGGGTCGAGGGAGTGACTTGCGTCGTTACAGATAGATGGATTTGTTCACCCAAAACACGTTATTGTTTTATTCAGTCAGTGGTCAGATAAATATTTCTTGCTAGCTATTCTGTGTGGCGTAGGGTTTGGCGGTATGGAAAAAAAAGTATATTGTGATATAAGTTTTCTCGATATGCTTCACGATATTTTGAACCACAGACGAAGTGCACTAGTCGTGTCATGTTCAAAAACTGCTATGAAAAAAACTGAATAGAATTATTATTATTCAACTGTTCACGTACCGCGCTGCACTACATCCACAGGACGCTGTTGGTTGGATATTTTTGGTTGGTGGACTATTCTCAGTCCAGCAGTGACACTGAGGTGTTTAAAAACTCCAGCAGCACTGCTGTGTCTGATCCACTCAGACCAGCACAACACACACTAACACACCACCACCACGTCAGTGTTACTGCAGTGCTGAGAATGACCCACCACCCAAATAGTCCCTGCTCTGTGAGGGTCCATGGGGGTCCTGACCACTGAAGAACAGTGTAAAAGGGGGCTAACAAAGTATGCAGAGAAACAGATGGGACTACAGTCTGTAACTGTAGAACTACAAAGTGCACCTATATAGTAAGTGGAGCTGATAAAATGGACAATGAGCGAAGAAACAAGAAACTCTGGAAGCATTTGAAATCGCCAAAAGTATGAAATGAAATGAACCTTTTTAGCCAACTGTGCCTGAACACATCAGAATTAGACCTCCGCATTTAACCCATCCATGCAGTGAAACACCACATACACACTAGTGAACACACACACACTAGGGGGCAGTGAGCACGCTTGCCCAGAGCAGTGGGCAGCCCTATCCACGGCGCCCGGGGAGCAGTTGGGGGTTAGGTGCCTTGCTCAAGGCTTCAGTCACGCACTGTCAGCTGAGGGGATTGAACCGGCGACCTTCCGGTCACAAGGCTGGTTCCCTAACCTCCAGCCCATGACTGCCCCCAAATTACGAATTAAAGGAGACCAAGCAGGTAAATTAATACGGGGTGCCAACAGTATTTCCCAGTCTGTTTTGATAATTCTGAGTGAAATAAACCACCACCCTCTATAAGTTTTAATGGCTTTGCGGTTGATCTCAGAGTGGTTTACAATAAGTGGGAGTGCTCTCTTTATGACGTTGTTGAAAGATCATAAATGTTTTCTGGTTCTATTCGCTAGGACTCTGAATTGGTCCTTAATTTTACTAGAGTGACGTCCACAGAGTAGGCAGTTCTGATGGAGGCTCTGTAGATACGATGGTCCTAGTAGGTTATGACAGACCGACGTGCTTTGAGAATCCGGCCCCAGAACCGTATCATCAGCATTTTAACTTTCAATCCTCCTTCATTCTGTCCCGTTGCCATCACACTAGTTAAGGTTAAACTGAATAGTGTTTCACATTACACCACTAAAACCTCATTTTGCTCCACATTATCCAGCCTCAGGCTGTTTATATTTTCATTTCAAATTCTGGATTTTTCTTGCAGATGTAAGTGGGGATTCACTGGACCGAGGTGTCAGCATAGAGAGTTGGGTGAGTTGCATGAAGTGTTTTCTCTGAAAACTCAACTCAAACCATGGCACTTTTCAGTCTGTTGCATGCTGTAGGAGTTACCATAGTATTTATTTAGGTGTAAATGATTAAAATTTTAATTTGAACTTACCCTTTATTGCTATCTTTTGCTCTGCAGACTCGTTCCCCGAGCCTGAGGAGTCTTCTGTCATGCCCATCACAGTAAACAGCAACAAAGAGAAGGAGAATGTTGCCTGTTCGTCAGAATATCAAAATTTTTGCATTCATGGGATTTGTCAGTACTCAGCGGAACTAAATCACGCAGTTTGCATGTAAGTGCCAACAAACAGTTGTCTTGCATTGTTACCAACAGATTCATTCTCGAGAGATTTTATTGTTTTATTCCGTCAGTGAGTATCTACATAACTTTCAATGAGGAATGGCCAGTCTTCAATCTGTAGAACTAAGAAAACAGACATTAACAAACATATCCATCCTAGTATCAAACAAACAACATCTAGCATAACACCAAGAACAAACGGTATCCAAAACAGTATCTGGAGTGCTCTCCAGAGCAATGGCATCATGGGCGGCTCTGGGGTGCTCTCCGGGAGCATCAGGCAGCACTGTTGACATGACTCTGGGGTGCTCTCTGGAGCATCAGGCAGCACCATAAGCGTGGGCAGCTCTGGGGTGCTCTCCGAAGCACCACGCAGCACCCAGGCATCAGCTGGTTGCAGCCAGGAGGGCCAGGGGAAGTCCTTGACCTGTACCAAGGGCATACATTCCCTATGCTCACCTTCTCAACCCTGCAAACCTGACCTGCAGTCAGGAGAGGGAGAGAGGGATAAGCCAAGTCAAGGTTGGAGGGAGGGGAAGAAACCAGACTAGGATGGGCAGGGTAGAGGGCTATCTCTGTGCCATATTCCCCGTCCATCCCTGAGAGCACTGCAGCCTCAGCAGGAGTTGGGAGGCAGTGGGTGGGCCAAGGCTCAGGGATGTCCAGCTCCACAGGCTCGAGCACATCTGGTGGCACAACTTTATGGTGGTGTGGGGAAGCTCAGCCACTTCAAAGGCCATGCTCTCCTTGTCATCCTCCTCGGGATAGACACAACAGCAGCAATATCCGTGGTCAGTGTTGTCGCAATCTGCCGCCCAATGCTGCTCTCTTGGGCACCACCTCCCAGCAGGTGCCAGGTGCCGCCTCTCCTCCTGGGGCGTAGGGGCCAGTTAATCAGCTCAGCCAGTTCGCTGCACCATCTCCTGTGGGTTGTCAAGCTTGTTGTTCCAAGTCCAGTAGAGGAGCATCAACGGATCCAGGAAAAAGGGGTTGAGCTGCTGGCTCTGGATTCTTTTATTCTTTGTTTTCTTTGCCCTTGGCATTTTTCTTATTTTTTTTAAATTTAAATGCAAACAGAAAAAAACTAAAAAAAATTACCTTGCTTGGCTTCCAGTCACAGAAACTGCATTCTCCATCACATTCTAGGCCGGGGTAGGGGCCGACACACACTGACTGGGAAACCCAACAAGAGCTCAGGGACACGTGCACACCAGCTTGAGTGAACCAAAGTGTGTTATTTACACATGTCTAAGTGAAACAAAGCCAAAACTTAGCGTCTCCAAAAAGTCCTTTCTTTTCCGCGTTTGACCGGAAGACCAGCATCCTCTCTCTTCTCTCCAGAGAGAGCTCAGTGTAAAAGGTGTCTGTGCTCCTCTGATTCAGCACAGCTGTGTGTGATCAGAGGAGGAGCACACGTCTTGCCGCGGAAAAAGACTCCAGCTCTTCACTGCCACACATGGTATGGTACCCACTGTTTTCTGGCACAAAGAAAACTATGGTATGGTTACTGTCATATCTCTAGCATGGTATCCATTGTTTTTTGGTGGAATGGCACGGTCAGTGTGGTATCTCTACTACTATTGTTAAACCATGGTTATACTACTATGGTATAACTGCTGTTACTGTATTATCATACTATCAGAGTATCTCCACTATGGAGACACCTCTGGGGCTTGGGGACAAGCATAACAGGGCTGCAACAGTGGCTGTATGACTCAATTTCACTTATCCTCATATTGAGCATAGACTAAACTTCATCCAGAACCCCATTTTTCTGGCATTTGGGTAAACGATATGGGCCACTGCACATAGTCATGCCAGGAGATTTCTCAGTGTTGTGTCCTGTGAGATCAGTGTGGCCAGACAGAGATAAACCTCAGCTTGCAACTTGGCAACCTCTACAGTGGCCTCATCTAACTGGGTTCTGACTGACCTTTTTAGGTACCTCTGGACCCAACTTATCTCTCTCATGAATTATTGTCGCCAGAGCAACAGGGACCACCTCGCTCCATGATTTAAGGAGATTGAGGAATAATAATTAGCAGTGGTGATCCATGACTATTAGAGCTGGGTTTTTTCCTCACATTTTGACCAGGTTTTGATTTATGGCTTGAACTGAAGGCCTAGCTTAATGATAATGCTTCTGCTCAGAACCCTCACTTTGTATCACTGTGTTTTACATATTGCAAGTCTTACCATTATGCTCCATATCTTTTTCTCTAAATCTGTATATATTTTAACTTTAAGTGAATTCTTTTTACAGATGTAAACCGGAATACTCAGGCGAGAGGCGCAGCACACCTGTTTTGCCTGATGTTCAACGATTATCTGTTGATAAAGAAGAGAAAAGCTTACCTATCAATAAGGAAGCGGAAGGCTACAACCAGAACACAGGTCTGTACTTGATGTGCCTCTCCACCACTGACACCTAGTAAACCTCTCTGGATTCGTATGCAGATATACATTTAATCTTATTCATGGATGCAAGCAGATATATATTCAAATTGATTATGTTTTATGCTTTCTTTGCTTGGAACCGGATATCTGCTGTCAGACAATGCTTTGGATCTCAGAGGATGACTGTTCCTTGAAAAGACTTCTTCTGTCTTTGCTTTGCTTTTAATTTATGAATGGATATTCTTTGTACAGCTCCAAGTTTTTAAATTTAGTACAGTTGTGCTAAATTAATTAACATCCAGCAATTTACCTGTATACTTTGAATGGTGGCTTGAAAAAAAATGTTATGAATGATGCTTTGAAGTTATCCTCCACCTAAACAGCACAAGGACAAGTCTCGAGTTTCGATATTGCTAAATAGTTTCTAGCAAAGTATCTGGTATTTGTCATACCATTTGATCAGTTCTGGTTGTAATGAGAACAGTAGAGCATAGCATTATTAAACATTTAAGATGCCAAATTGTTAAACTAAAATTTAGGTTTAACTGATTTAGTCTTTAATGATTTATAAGGTTGACAGCCCTAGAGGTAAAGAAATTTGCACTACATTAGGCTGTCACACCATATGAACCATATTTGATAAGAACCCCGCATAAGGACCACACGTGTCAGGCTCCAGTCCTCGCGGCCCAAAATACTGCAGACTTCAGCTCACTGCCTCATTAAACACACCTGATTCAGCTCATCAGCTCATTAGCAAGGCTTTCATGAACTGAATTCTGAGTGTTAGATGAGAGCAAATGCTAATCTCTGCAGCACTTTGGCCTGGGAAAGTCCCAAGTTTGATATATAGAATATGACGATAATTCAGATGAGCTGCATGAAGAACACCTTTTCTCAAAAGGCTGCAGGCTCTGAGACTCTGAAACCACTCATCACGTTGGGTAAGATACCTCACTTGACAGTCTGATGTACACTGAGATAACGCGGTATTCATCTTACCCTATGTTACTTTATGTTGCTCTGTAGTTCCGTTTTCCGTCGGGCCTGGGGAGTCTTCTGCCATGTCCGTCACAGAGAACAGCATAAGAGATGAAGGGAAGCTACCTACTGCTTGTTCATCGAAATACAGGGATTACTGCATTCATGGAACTTGTTATTACATCGTGGATCTAAATGAGCCATCTTGCCTGTAAGTACCAGGTAGTTCTACTGGGACGAGGGTGCAACTTGCGTCATTACAAATAGATAGATTTGTTCTCCCAAAAACGTTGTTGTTTTATTCAGTCAGTGGTCAGGTAAATTTTTTGTGGATAGCTATTTTTTGTGGTGTAGGAATGCAGTTTTACTCTGGCTATGGTCATGCTCCTAGTAATTTACTCTAGAAGCATTTGAAAAGGCATTTGAAAAGTATCTTTCCACAATTATATTACAGCACTTTCTTTGTCCACTCAGTACATCCATAAAAGATGAACTGAAATCAGCCCTTTCTAGAGCCATGACTGAGTTTCTTTGGAGTACTCTTCTTTTGCAACCTGCTTCAGGTCTCCCGGATACAAAGGGTGCCTTCTCCAAACTGCTGCTTTGAGATCTTGCCACTGGTGTTCTTTGGGATTGAGATCTGGACTCACTGATAGAACAGTCCAGTGCTTTGTCTTAGATCATTTCTGGGTGCTATTTAATGTATGCTTTGGGTCATCGTCCTGCTGAAAGACCCATGGCCTCTGATGGAGACCCAACTTGCTGAAACTGGGCCCTCCCTTGTGCTCCAAAATTCTTTGGTAGTGTTTGGATTTCATGGTGCCATGCACACATTCCAGGCACCTGGAGCCAAAGGCAGCATAGCAACCCCAAAACACATGCGAACCTCCTCCATGTTTAACTGTAGGGACTATGTCTCATTTTGTTTTCTGTAAAAAGATCAATGATGTGCTTTACCAAAGAGATCTATTTTGGCTTCATCCACAGGACGTTGTCACAGAAGGCTGTGGGCTTGCTAATTCTAGTTTTGGCTTTTTTGTGTCTTTGTGTCAGCAGTGGGTTCCTTTTGGGCCTCTTATGGCAGAGTCCTTTTTCCACAAGCTGACACTGATGTACCTTGCTTCTGTAATTCATGTAGAATTTGTCTGGAAGTTGGTTAAAGTTCTTTCTGTATCATTCAGACAATCCTTCGCTCCAATCTGTCATCAACTTTTCTTTTCTGTCCACGTCCAGAGAGGTCAGCTGCAGTGCCATTTTCTGCAAAACTTCAGACATTTATATCCTCTGCTTTTGCTTCTCCATGCTTGGTGTGGTGCACACAGACACACAAAGGTTGACTTAACATTTTTCTTTTTAAACTGGTTAAAACTATGATTTCTATATTGCCTACACTTGTAAGCTGCCAAAGGGTGTTTAATTACAAATTAAAGGAGGTTTACCTGCTTGAAATCCAATAATCTCTTAAAATTAATAAAGGGTGCCAACAGTATTTCCCAGTCAGTTTTAACTTTCAACCGTCCTTAATTCTGTCCCGTTGCCATCACACTAGTTAAGGTTAAACTGAATGTGTTTCACATTACACCACTAAAACCTCATTTTGCTCCACGTTATCCAGCCTCAGGCTGTTTATATTTTCAAGTTCTGGATTTTTCTTTCAGATGTAAGTGGGGATTCACTGGACCGAGGTGTGCGCTTAGAGAGTTGGGTGAGTTGCATGAAGTGTTTTCTCTGAAAACTCATCAACTCATACTATGGCACTTTTCAGTCTGTTGCATGCTGTAGGAGTTAACATAGTTAATTAACACAGTATTTATTTAGATGTAAATGATTCAAATTAAAATATGACATCCTTTATTGCTATCTTTTGCTCTGCAGACTCGTTCCCCGAGCCTGAGGAGTCTTCTGTCACTCCCATCACAGAAAACAGCAAGAAAGACAAAGAGAAGGGGAATGTTGCCTGTTCGTCAGAATATCAAAATTTTTGCATTCATGGGATTTGTCAGTACTCAACGGAACTAAATCACGCAGTTTGCATGTAAGTGCCAAGTAGTTCCACTGAAGTGAGAGAGCAAACAAACAGTTGTCTTGCATTGTTACCAACAGATTCGTTCTCCAGAGATTTTATTGTCTTATTCTATCAATGGTCAGATAACTACAACTGCAAAGAAAACATTGTATAATGTTGCATGAAGTAAACAATCCAACTGTAATAAGCATACAACCAAGTTGGGGCTTCCCTAGGGAAAACTGCTGAGGACAGCATCAATGAAAAGAAACAAACAAAATCAAACAATCTACCTGAATCCAAAACAAAAATAAAGATGTCTATTCCAACAAAAAATTAAACAAAACATAAATACATAGTGTACAGTTGCACCCAAAATAGCCTGCACGTTTACCTACATTTTAAAAAAGTTACCAAATAGACCAAACTTACCAAGGACACAAGATCACCAACAGGGCTCAACAGTTTTTAATCAAAGCTCTTAGTTGTGCAAAACATTATAAAATATTATAAAGCAAACTGTCTACAGCATCTTTTTTACAAACAAAATAGCAGGCTACTTGACAAACGATTCATTAAGTGGGTCCTTGATTAATGGGAAGGGGTACAATGGCACTTCTTGATAGGGTCCTTGATTAACAGGAAGGGGTACAGTGGCACTTCTTGAGAGGGTCCTTGATTAATAGGAAGGGGTACAGTGGCGCTTCTTGAGAGGGTCCTTGATTAATGGGAAGGGGTACAGTGGCGCTTCTTGCAAGGGTCCTTGATTAATGGGAAGGGGTACAACGGCGCTTCTGAGATGGCAGTGGATGCTTCTGAGATGGCAGTGGGTTAACCAGCTGACCTCTGTAGCTTAACACACACCACCTGCGTATATCACCACAAATTCCCAGCCAAAAGAATCGTCCCAAGAGCCCTGACATGGGATTACTGTGGTTTATTGGAGCCAAGAAATATATCTGAGTGTTCTTGGTCATTCTATACAACTTGTCTTTAATAACTGAGCAGTAAGGATATGAGAGAGCGATATCTAGCTCGAGCACTCGAACATCGATTACTTTCTCTTGATCAAAGCCATGCTTCACGATTTTGTCAGTGGAAAATCACCCAGGGGAACCTAGAAGGTGGGTCAGTGGGTGAAGTTGTAGTGCATGGCCTGCCTTTTTGTGATAGGCCTTGCCAGCTGAAGAACCATCCTTTGACCCTTTGCAGTAGCTCAGCACTTGAGCTTTACTCTTGTGATGATATTGATAACATAAAAAAAGAAGAAAAATGTATTGAATTAAATAAAATATACCTTGATTCCACTGATAGTCATTAATAAGTGAAAATAAAATGTTACTTTAAAACACAGTTAAAACACAAAATTACAACATCCAACCCTCACTTTGTTTCACTGTGTCTTATATTTAGTTACTCTTACTAAATCTTTATGCTCCATGTCTTCTTGTCTCAGTCTGTATATTTTTAAGTGAATTCTTTTTACAGATGTAAACCAGAATACTCAGGCGAGAAGCACAGCACACCTGTTTTGCCTGATGGTCAACGATCACCCATTGATAAAGAAGAGGAAAGCTTGGCCATCGAAAAGGAAGAGAAAAGCTTACCTGTCAATAAGGAAGCGGAAGGCTACAACCAGAACACTGGTCTGTACTTGATGTGCCTCTCCACCACTGACACCAAATAAACCTCTCTGGATGTGTATGCAGATATATTTAAATCTTATTCATGGAAGCAAGCAGATATATATTATATTCAAAAGAAATTATGTTTTACGTTTTCCTCGCTTGGAACCGGATATCTGCTGTGTCAGACAATGCTTTGGATCTCGGAGGATTATTGTTCCTTAAAAAGGCTGTTGTGGTTGATCCCATTTGTGATCTTCTGTTTTTGTGCTTTAGGGTATCATCAAATTATGAATGGGTATTTTCTGTGCAGCTCCAAGTGTTTATCCTTTTAAATTTAGTTCAGTTGTGCTAAATTACTTAACATCCAGCAATTTACCTGTATGCTTTGAAAAAAAATGTTATGAATGTTGCTTTGAAATTATCCTCCACCTGCACAACACAAAGGCGAGTCACTCTGTATGTCTAAAATATGCAAAGTAAATAAAGCAATCAGTGAATCCAGTTGCCTCAATATGCATTAATTACCGTTGTTTCTATGTAATTATATCTTAAAGAGAAAGGTGCTTGAGCTTTATGCTGTATATTTTGCTCTATAATCATTTTTGTACATTTACTGAATGCCTTGGTTTTATGCACCTGCATAATGGATGAATTAAAATGCTGATTTTGTCTTTATGGTAATCTTTGACACACCTATGCCTGTGTTAATCTCTGATCTAGGCTAAACATTCCTGATCTGGTAAATATATTTTGTTCATGGCTGGAAGTATTTCTTGGTCATCCACTGTAGCCACAGGATTTGTGGTTGCTGTAATGGTAAACAACAACAGAAACAATGACATGACACATAACTGGACAAGAATTGCAATTAGCTGAGAGGTTTGTTTCAATGTTTGTCCATTGTACAGAGATAAATTAAAAGAGTCATCAGTGCCAAATTACTTACAGACTGCACTTTTGAAAATGTAAACCTATGCATTGCTGGAAAAACCTATGCACTACTGGCTTTTATACTTTGTTGTCTTTTATGGCATACGTGTTGTTGCAACACCAAATATGTTTGTCATTTGAATTTATCTGAATATGCTGTGCACCCCTTGATCAAGTTAATTTCTATCCACACTGTGAAAAGTAAAGCCCTATCAAAGAAAAGGTACTTTTTTGGTTTTTGTATGTAAGAGAAATGTTGGGTTTGTTGTAGCAGTATTAGTTTCACTTGTATCTTATGAAATAAGACTGATAGAACTGCTCCAGGAAATAAGACTGATAGAACTGCTCCAGGCTGGTCTGAATAAAAGATTGTGCAAGTGAAAATCTGTTTTTAAAATTGAATGACACATACTTACTAAATACAGGCAAGTCTCAAGTCAAGTCCAGATTCTGTTCAGGCAAGTCACAAGTCAAGTTCCGAGTCAGTACAGGCAAATCTCAAGTAGAGTCCCAAGTCAATACAGGCAAGTCTTAAGTTTGATCCTGAGTCAATAAAGGCAAGCCTTTAGTTGAGTTGAGTCAGTACAGGCAAGCCTTAAGTCCAGTCCTAAGTCAATACACATAAGCCTTTGGTCGAGTCCCAAGTTTATACAGACAAGCTATAAGTTGGACACTGGGTCAATAAAGGCAAGTCTTGAGTCACGTCCTGAGTCAATACAAGCAAGCCTTAGGTCGAGCCCAGTGTCAATGCAGGCAAGGCTTAGGTCAAGTCCAGTGTCAATACATGCAAGCCTTAATTCAAGTCCTGAGTCAATACAGGCAAGCCTTAGGTCAAGTCCAGAGACTGCTAACATTTTCTGCTTAACGTGCAAAAGTTTGAGGAGCTATCGGCAACTGTTTTGTGGGTTTTTCTCTTAAAACCAGTCATAAATTATCAGCAGTGTCTCGAAGGTCTATTAAGGTCTTTAACAATGGCAGCAGATACAGTGGCTAGACAGAGACACAAGCCTTGAACACATGCTGAAAGAAAATTTCAGAACACTATTCAAACTCTTAGGATCAGATGTATGTATAAAAGAAGGCACAGCACGAAATATATCTTCTCCTATCAGGGCTTAGAGTGGACTGCCAACATGGGGCCCTAACATTGTGGTCAGCGTTTGCCACCAGTTTCATCACTGACTGGGGCCCCACTACAGGTGGGCACAATTTGTAGCCCACAGTGGCCCTACACTGGTCCCACATGGGCGTGTTTTCTGGGTTCATACATAATATGAGGGCAAAAGGTGTCCAATTTGCACTTAACACATCTGTGCTTCAGCACCTAAACATATAACTTTGTTACTGTTTGTTACTGTTTATCTATGCAATATACCTTTAAAAAAGAACTGCAGTTGATTTTTTCCTCACAAAGTTTGAATTCGAGGACTAGGCCTCCAATGGCATTTTAGGGCCACTGTTAATAAAAATAAAAACAGCAGACTTGAAAAAAACAGTTGTAATATATATTTCGGTAATAAAGTCATAATATTTGGAGGATAAAGTGGTCTAACTGTAGGGGGGCTGCCATAATGCGTTGGGGTCTCAGTTGCTGTACTGGCACCGGAGTTCCACTCACTCCTGTCTCTTTGTGGATCATTTTGATCATCATTCTCACTGTCTGTGAAACTTCATGTCCTCTTTGAACGGTGCAGAGATGTAGCACTGATAGCCGTGTAGACGACCCTGCCTGCGATTCTCCTTCAACAAAACAGACAGACAGTTTCCTCCGAGTCCGTCTGGCTCTTTATTCTAGATAACCACGGTTTCCTGCTCAGCAGTTTCAGCCGTTTCTTATACTAATAACAGGCTGGTGCTGATGTGCAGGAGAGACAGGGAGACTGAGTGTTTCTTTATGGGTGAATCGATATGAAAGTATAACTCCACCAACTCACTGCCCCTCATTTAACACGAGGTGCTGCCTTCACTTTCCAAAGCCTTTGGCCACAATACTGCATACCTTTCTTGGTATTAACGCCACTGTAATGTCGTAATTCTACAACGTTTTTTCTTGAAATATTACGACTTTATTGTCAAAGATATCACAGAACATGTAATATTGCACTGTTTATGACTCTCTTGTATATTATGAGCCAAGTCTTTCCTTTTATTAAAACTGCTTTCACTTCTCAGAAACTATGATGCATTTAAAGTGAATTTGGTCTTGTGACCAAGTGCCTAGCGTTGCAGTACACCTGACCCTAACGGAAGCTGCGGGCACAAGTCTTATCAGGTCTGCTCGGGGTGTATTATCTTTTATTCACAAACATATATCAAATATTATAGTGATCTTGAAGATGATGATCTTCAAAAAAGATCAACAAAGTGCTAAAAGTATATCTCCATTCAGTGAACAATGAATTTAATATATCTAATTACTTACATAAACAATAATGTTGAGTTGGCGTTGTTGTACACATTTCCACTCATTCAGCTGCACCTCCTATCACAACCCTCCCGCACTATCATGGGGCAGATTGCCTTCTCAGAAGTTCTATCAGGTCAGTTCATCAGCTGAAAAGAGGAAATGGTTTGCAGTTTCAGTTCAACTGCCTATATATTAAAAAAGTCCCTGAACAGCTTGAACTGTAAAGACTGAAAATGAGACATGAACGACAAATGCAGATAATTTCTAAGTACCACTTCAAGTAAAAGATTAAAAAGGTCCCATACGCTATATGTACTGCTAAATAAATCTGATTAAGCCTGTAAATGAGCTTGTAAAAAATATGTTTGTCTGAATAAAGAAATAACTTCCTTATGGGGAGCATAAGAGTGACTGATTAATTTGTCATAAAGTCTGTTATTATGATTTATTTTCATTTAGTTATTTTTTAATTATGGATGTTATGCCCTCCACTAGGTGTCGCCACAGGGCAGCGATGGGACGACTCTACATAATGGCAAAAGAACAAGCATGCATAAAGTGCAGAACTATGTGCAGCTAAACGTGTTTTTGTTATTGTGTTGTTATAATACGTCTATTAAAGTTCAACACAACAACTGAACAGTGTTTCTGTCCATTCAACATGCCCCTTTGTGTAGTTTAGGACAATATAAAATTGGCAATGAGCATCTGCTGTACTTTAAACACTGTTAGAAACAAAGGTACATTTTTCATTCATCAAGGCACAAACAGTGTAAATGTTTCCTCAAAAGGTACAACAGTCATTTTAAGGTCCAATTGTGCACCTTAAATAAGTTTTTCCAGGTGAAAAGTTCGTATTTGTACCTTTTCATAACCGACTTTGTACCTTTCATGCGACTTCTGACTGAAACATGGACATGTGAAGCGTGTAATCTGTTCAAGTGACATTTTTTAGACTTTTATTCTGCAGTTTCTCAGTGAATCATATAGTGAGTAATTCAAGCCTGTGATATTAATGACGGAGCTGTTTAGCCAGTTGGCTCTTTTATTCTGTTCGCTAGCTGACCAGCCTGGTTGCAGTTAAGAACATAAGTTGTCAGTCCCTCAGTTTAAACAGAAAACAGGTTCTTACTTCATCAGTACACTCGGTGCTCCATGCGATCAGCATTAGAGTCAAAGTTTCATCCATTAACAGCACAAGGGTTTTTCGTGCCATGGCGCAGTGATAGAGTTCAGTTGTTGTGAGGTGATCATACGGGTTTGATATAGGGGATTTTACAAAGGCTTCGAACACGGCTCAGCCAATCAGATTTTAGGACCGGAACTATCCATTTCATAAAGTTTAATAGTAGACTTACTTTCATGCAACATCGCGCAGATGTGTTAGTTTACTGTCAGCATGGACGCAGCAATGTTTGAATTTTGTTTATGAAGATTTTAATGCCGTGCCATTTCACGAACACACCGTAGCAGCTAAGGGAAACCAAAAAAATAGAGAAAAACATTTTTATGAAGGAAACAAAAATGCAGTTCAGTTTCTCCAGTGTAAATGAGAATATAAACATCAGACACTGTAATAAAGCAGCAAAGCTATATTTTAGCTCACACAGTCTCTCAGCTCAGATGAGAAAACTGAGTCAAGGACTGAACATGTAAGAGTGAGTCTTACTCATATCCACACAAAATTACACCTGACCTGCAAAACAAGCCACAAATCAAAACCAGCAATACAGACATCGACGTATGTGTGACTGTAGACAGTCATAACAGAGCCGTTTCCGCCTCCACAGGAATATAAAGGCTAACTCACATTAGCACTGCAGTGCGAAACACGGCATCTTCAGCAGAGCTTTCAGCTAATTAGCCTCACAAAACCACAGCGTCCAACATGGATTAGAATATATACTGAAAACAGCGACAGTATAAAGGAGGGAAAGGAGTTACAAACACTACTGAAAGACTGAAGACCTTGTTCCAGCGAGGGGCGCCATTCGCAGTTCTTCCCGTCCACCTCTCTTCATTTCTTCTAGCGTTCCCGCCAAGAGCAGGACTCGGAGATTCACGTACGGTACAAGAAGCGTCATGTCAGAATAAGAGTCCCCCATCCTGCCGTGCAGCTGGGTCATTCTCCATTTGGAGTGGGAATTCAGGTGGATACATTCTTTAAAAAATCTATTTCTTTCATCCCAAAACTAAATAATCTTAATATGTCCATTATCATCTCCTATTATCATATATGAAAAAAGGAGCTTAATTCAAAACATATTTCACAGTCGCTGGTGTTGTATGAATATGGTGTAACACCAGTGACTATGACTCCAGTGACACTCTGGTTAAAACTCAGGATTTTGTAAATGGGCCCACTCATTGGTGGTCAGGTGACCTTGTGTATTTAAAACCAGCAATAAAAATGATATACGGCATTAATTTGACAAAATTTGAATCATCCAGCCATTAAAGCTCATAACACTGGTGACACATAGAGATTCTGTCCTGCCTGATAAACAAAATTATTAATAAATTAATGAAATATAGTGAGCGAGTGTGACTCGCCTTCTCATGCCTTGAAATGCTTCCTCTCTAATGAGCCTTGACCCAAAGAAGCAGTTTAATAGAGCTGAAAATACTGTGTTAAAATGTAGGAGTCCTGATAACAGCAGTGACCAAACTCTCTGTGACAAATGAATTTTTAAAATAAAACAGATCTTTTAAATGTAGTAAAATGTTAATGATATAAAAAATAAACATGAATCTGTTTTATACAAATGCCTCAGTTAAACCTCTTAAAAATATTGTTTTATGTTAAAATGGTTTCTCAAATGTTGAAAATTGGTTTTTGTGATGAGCTGTTTTTTGCAGATGCAGAGCGATTATGAAACAGAGAAAAATGAAAGAAAAATCAGAGAATCATAAGGGAAAAGTATTATTTATTCTTAGGTAAACTGTGTACTGAGCTGTGCCTGATATTTTAAGCATCTTTTCAAGCCCTGCAACCTTTGTGACATGGTTTCCCTTCCAAATGGAGGATGACCCAGCTATTTCACACAGATTAAAACCAGTGCAGGACAGAAACATTCTAAACATCAACGAAAAAAAAATTCATTCAAAACATCTCTTACAGTCTTGTTTATTGTGAGCTGTGAGTTTTATTTGCATTTTGCTACACACACTACCATGTCAGTGTCACTGTGGTGCTGAGGATGGACCACCACCCAAATAAGACATGGACAAGAGCAGCCCTGTTGTCAGAAACTGACCAATGATGAATGGGGTAGAGGTGGGCTGATAAACTGTGCAGTAACAGATGAGCTAAGGTCTGTACACCCAGGGGATGGAATAAAAAGACCAACGCTTGTAGCTACAAAGTAGAAAAATGTACTAATACACTTGTTTACTAGGTGACTCCCAACCCAGAAAGACACTGTCAGTGTGATTGACAGGATGTATGCTAGGATATCTCGTTTTTTCGTCCTGTTCTCATTGAGAGGTGATTCTGAGAGCTGTGGTGATTTTAGTGTGCAGTTTACATCAGACGGTCTGTGCACCTCTGGGTGCAGATTGCCTGAGACTAAGGCCTAGTCCCATTTCACCCCTCGCCCCTTCCACTTAGCCCTTAGCCCTCCGTTTTGCATGTTCTCGTCTAGGAGTAGGGTGTCCTGATTCTTGATGAGATAGAGGGGTAGGGTGAAGTGTTGGGGCTACATGATCCTCCAAATGGAGGTTTTTCAGAGACACTCCAAACAGAGAGTTATGAGAAAAAAAGAAAAACCGGCGAGATGGCTGAGCAAGAGACCAAAGAAACCCATAAAGTATAAAAAATTAAGATCATTGTATTATCTTAGTTTATTTGTCGTTTAAATGCATTATGGTCCTTCATAACAAATAAAAGAAATGCCAGTACTATGCTGATGTCTCAGTAGCTAGCTAGATAAACTTCCCGTTCCACCTTAAATGGTGCAGCAGTTACATTCTGGAAGCTCAAGCATTAGAACTGTTCCATTTAAGGTGGAACAGGAAAATTCAAACAAGAATCTGGTGAATATCTGACTTCAGCTTCATATCACTGAAGAATTAGTAACTAACTAAAAGCAATCTACTAGCAAAATTAGGATCTGGATCATACCCTGGTATCTGGTAGGTATATTCATAAAATATTATTTACAGCTTCTCTTATTACAGGTTTTACTGTGCTCCCCTCTCAGGGTTACTGTGGATTCCTCCAGCCCCTACAAGAAGACGCATTCGTCTGTACCTAGCATTCCTATAGGAATTAAGGTGAGTATACACATCATTCACATTTTCACCACAGTTTAAAAGAGTTCTAATTTAAATTTGCTGTCATTGGGTGTGGTGTTCAGTGCTGTTCTGATGATGAGACAAGTCTCTGTCTTCATCACAGGCCACCTCCAGTATTGTATAAGACTGAATATGTTAAAGGATTAACCACTCAAGGCAAATCGGTGTGCAGGTGATTCCTACAAAGATCTAGTAATTTTATGATGTTAATTTATGCAAAAATACTGTGTTAGCAAATGATTGTTGGTTTACTGCAGATAGTGTTTTGTGTGTAAACAGTTAAGAAGCTGTAAAACTCAATAATAAAATCTCAGAGACACCAAACATATGTTACTTACTGATCATTAACCAGATGATTAGGTCAGATTTGAGAAAACAAATCCTAAACAATAATTCAGTAATTAAAAACTAGTATAATCAAGACTTTTGTTTGAGACTGCATGTTAACTGACAGCAGTAATACATGGCAGTGACAGCAAATGGTTCACCTTTTCTTAGCTTATTTTCTAACAGGAGTCAGACATTGAATCTTTGTCAGATATTGGATTATGGAAGTAAAGTTGCATTCAAGTGGGAATGGCTGCGGTAACTGTAGTGGGAAGTGGGAAGTAGGAATTTGGCCAACACATGATGCAAAAAGCGTTTTGCATTTGCTAAAGTACAGAACTTTGACTAGATGTCTATGATAGGCAACAAATCATTCAAGCAACATTAGCATTTGTTGGAGTTTTTAAAGTGTTACTGGCTTAGGCCCAGCTAAAGAGACTTTGGTGTGGGGTGTCGTTCAAGGCCCTAATTCTGATTGGTTTAACAGAATACTTGATGTCAACATCTTTCAAATGTAGTTCCATCCAGGATGTGAAATACCCCCTGATATTCAGGGGGTCCTGTGTTGGCTGGCTACTCCATCGTTAGCTGGCTGCTAACTTACTCACCACACCGGTTCTAATGCTTCAACGGCAGTAAAATGTTTGGTTTAACAGTTCTTCTTCTTTAAAGTCTCTGTTCTAGTGTGGTTCTGCGCTCTTCCTCACATTAACTGAGATCTTCCTCATCTCCTCTTCTGTCTTCAGTGTGAGAAATGAGGAACAGCAAACTCTTCCCTCCAAACTCTTAGGAAAGTTTTAATCAAGATCATCTGGGTATGCTGAAGAGAGGACATCAGCTCACTTGTGAAGATCATTTACTTTGGACTTTGAACGCTTCTACAAGTTTTGACAGATAATTAAATTTTCATAAACAATCTCTTAGTGCCTCTGAACATTGGATAACCCTGGGCAGTTGACCAGGTTGCCCATATGATAGGTCCAGCCATGGCAAAAGGGGAAAACTTTGACCCTGTGGTAGATGCAAGCATGATGAGGACTCTCTGTCAGGGTGCAACATCTTCCCATGCCTCTCAGTTATCTGCACTGTCTTGGAGTGATGTGACATTTTTAAGAGAGGCGAACAAAACAGGTGTGGAAAGAAATGACAGAGCTGCTGGGGAAACCAAAAAGAAGCCTCAGTTGAGAGCCAAGAGAAAAAAAGTAAGAAAGCGAGAAAGAGAGATAATAATGTCTCCCAGTTTTTAGCAGGCAGACGGCAGACTCTCCACTCTTCACTCTGTACTGACGCTCCCCTCTCTACTTAATAGAGCTGCGTTCATCTGGAAACACTCGTGAACTCTACATGGACTCCTGTTCTTCATACATGTTATCAGAAGCACAACCAGAAGTACCACCACCGCAACAATCAGCAGTACTAATAGCCACAATGGGACAACAACTCTGTCTCTGTCTGGACGTGGCTGGTCATCTACAAAACACAAAGCACACAGATTTGTAACATTGTGAACACTCCATAGCAGATGATTCTTGCTCACCAATATTTACATATATTATTATCAGTAGTATTACAGTATATTTGCATATATTTTTCAAAATAAGTGTCAATATAATTCTGAAGTATTTTCTCAGTATTTCTGACATATATGTGCATAATAAAACTGGCACCTTAACATATGTTTAATCTACATACACCGATCAGGCATAACATTATGACCACCTCCTTGTTTCTACACTCATTGTCCATTTTATCAGCTCCACTTACTATATAGGTGCACTTTGTAGTTCTACAGTTACAGACTGTAGACCATCTGTTTCTCTGGATCAGACACAGCAGTGCTGCTGGAGTTTTCAATCACCTCAGTGTCGCTGCTGGACTGAGAATAGTCCACCATCCAAAAATATCCAGCCAACAGCGTCCTGTGGGCAGCGTCCTGTGACCACTGATGAAGGACTAGAGGATGACCAACACAAACTGTGCAGCAGCAGATGAGCTATCGTCTCTGACTTTACATCTACAAGGTGGACTGACAAGGTAGGAGTGTCTAATAGAGTGGACAGTGAGTGGACACAGTGTTAAAAGTCCAGCAGCACTGCTGCGTCTGATCCACTCGTATCAGCACAACACACACTTACACACCACCACCACGTCAGTGTTACTGCAGTGCTGAGAATGATCCACCACCCAAATAGTACCTGCTCTGTGAGGGTCCATGGGGGTCCTGACCTCTGAAGAACAGGGTAAAAGGGGGCTAACAAAGTATCAGAGAAACAGATGGACTACAGTCTGTAACTGTAGAACTACAAAGATCACTATGTGCTATGCCAGGCATCGGATGTGGTGTAAATCACACCACCACTGGACTCTGGAGCAGTGGAAACGTGTTCTGTGGAGTGATGAATCACACTTCTCTATCTGGCAGTCTGATGGACAAGTCTGGATTTGGTGGATGCCAGGAAAACTCGACCTATCAGAATGCGTAGTGCCAACAGTAAAGTTTAGTGGAAGAGGGATGATGGGCTGGGCTGTTTTTCAGGGTTTGGGCCCCTCAGTTCCAGTGAAGGGTAATGTTGATGCTACAGCACAAAGACATTTTACACAATTATCTGCTTCCAGCTTTGTGTCAGCACTTTGGGGAAGAGCCTTTCCTGTTCCAGCATGACTGAGCCCCTGTGCACAAAGCAGATCCATAAAGACATGGTGTGACCAGTTTGGTGTGGAGGAACTCCAGTGGTCTGCACAGAGCCCTGACCTCAACCCCACTGAACAACTTTGGGATGAACTAGAACAGAGACTGAGAGCCAGGCCCAACATCAGAGTCTGACCTCACAAATGCTCTTCTGACTGAATGAGCACAAATTCCCACAGACACTCTCCAAGGGAGGCGGAGCAGCGAGCTCTCGTTTCCTCTTGGCTTGGGTGCTCACGCTGCCCTTAATGAGAGCCAGCTGATGCTGATCTGGCTGACAGGGTGAGCACCTTTTAAAAAGAGCTGAGAGGGAACACAGAGAGAGAGAGGGAACAGCAGCAGGACTCGGGAATCGCTCCTTGCCCTCGTGCATTTCGTGGGCAGCGCTGTCGTCCTCCTCCTCCCGCCGTCACTCGCGTCACTCGGTGGAGCTCGGGCTTTGCGCTCCGTCCCCCACCCACCCGCAGCTCTCTCCCTACCGTCCTCACTGGGGTTCGTCGCCACTCTTCCGGCAGGCTCTCGCAGCTGCCGTCGGGGCCCGGGGGCCAGGCGCACGCCACAATATTTTATAGAAAGCATGTAATCTTGAGTCCTTTACCTAAGCTCCCCGTCTGCTAACGACTCCTGTCACCTCTCACTTCACCACTGGTGAAAAACATTCCTAGAGGAAACACTGCTTAAGCTGTAAAAATGATGCTAAAATCATACCTTGAACGGTCACTGAGTAGATATGGATAATATCTTTATTGCGGGCATCCTGTATGATGTAAACTCCACTATCAGACAGTTTCATCCCTCTCAGCTCAAGAGCGGGTGACACTCTCTGTGCGTATTTAGGTCCACACTGTGGTGAACGTCCATTCACTGTGCAGACCTGACCACTGGGTTGAGAAGCATTTGTGCTTTTATAAGTCACCTCCACTGGACCTGAGATGTCCAAATCCAGGACCAGAGATTCATTGGGTTTCATCTGAACTGAAGAACTCAAGGCTGAGGACAAAAACAGTCAGTAACTTCATTAATTGTAAATCTAAAACAAAACACTGTATTTGAATAAATAAAAAACAAAGAAATGAACACTTACGCTCGATCTGAAGCTGCACATCATAGATGGACACATGATCACACTGACATGTGTACCAGTCCCTCTTACTGAAATCAGCGTCAATGATGATGAGGGAGAGATCTCCCTTCAGGTAGTGATCATGGATCATCCGATATCCCTCTTTCATCGAGTGGCATGAAGTTTGATTACACTGAGCCAGAACATCACTGGAGTTATAGCTGCTGATCCACATAGCTAAACTAGTATAGTTCTCATGACAGGGGAGAGTAGCAGACTGATGACGCTTCACCTTCACAGAAGGACCAATTGATTCTAACAGTGAAAGAGATGAAGAACTGATTAATAAAGCAGTCAAGACGCTCCAAAGTCAATGTCAAGTTTATCCGCTAATATAATTATGAGTGCATAAACTTTCATACAATTCAGGCAAAGCTATTTCTCTGCGTACTACACTCCGCAGCCTAACATCATGAAAATGACAAAGTTACATCAGACTTTGGCAGAGATGTTCACAACTCCCAGGTTTTTGGTAGAGAATTTTAGTTTAGCCTTGTTATTTGCTGCAGGCGTCACACTGTACAAAATAAAAATCTCTCAGGATCAACATGCCGTTGTCTAACGATTCTTTCTCTGTAGAAAATCCTTCAGTCTGAAGGACAGAACTGAAGCGCTACAGGCAGTAAGTGTAGACAGCTTTGCTCCGATATTAAAATAAGGCTCAAAACACCAGGATTTCATATCTTTTGATTTATACAACATTATTTCCAAACCTTACATTGTTTTTTTTTATAATCTTTCTCATTATTGTTCATGTCGTTATTAATGTCATCATTTTTTCTTATCAAACATCACCATTATGTCCAAACTGAGAAATAACATTTTTTAAAAGGAATCACAGGCCAAGGCCGCAAGCAGGCCTAAGCCTTTAAATTCTATTCACTTTACATGTTACTTTAAATTAATATGGTTACAACCAAGTCTCTCTACGTATGTGTTTTTGTCCTTCAAAGACATTTTAGTACAAACAGGTTCTTCTCTGCGTGCGTGCTTTTCCTGGATGAGGCCTACTTGGCACACACCACTACAATTCACAACATACTCACATACTCAGGGTCGCCCTCAGACACACACACACACACACACACACAGGGTGAAACTGCATATGCATAGAGAGTCATACAGTATTAATGTAATACGATTAGGTATGATTGAAATCATGATTACTTTTGAGTAACTTTAAATTTAAAAATCTTGCATATTATACAAAATTATACACAACAGCAGCCTCAGTTTAGCTATTTGTGCAGCTGCTGAGTCTTAGTGAGGTGGAGCTGTGGGGGGGGGGGTTAAAACTAGTTTGTGGTGCAACTCGTTTTGACTTAGTAAAGCATCAACCTGAACTTATGTCACCAGCCTCTCCTCAAAAGTCTTAAGTATGAATAATTTTTACTGTTCCGTAGAAGTAAAAGTTAATATTTCTGCTTATTGACTGTATGACTGTTAAGAGGAGTAACTGTTCATTCCCTTGTCTTAATTCAGATCGTTTTACAGTCTAAAGGGTGAAAGAGGGTGTCTCTTTCTAACTTGTAAGCTCTTTATGGTAAATTCTGGCTGTTTTGTTTGAATTTTGTCTCATTTTGAAAAGAGGGAAAGGGTACTACTGTATAAGACATTGAATCCACAAGTGTTATATGGTCATTGCCGCTTGTTACCTTGGATTTTGGTGTTGATTGTACAATTCATTTATTTATTTATTTTTTAAAAGAAAAGTAAGCTGGAACTAAGAGAACAAGCACTTACAATTCATTTTCTTTTAATAAATATTCTTTTTTTTGGTAACTGCTGTCTATCTCTAATTCTACATTTATCTAGGAGTAGGGGCGTCTCTCCTGTCTTGTTAGATCTGGGGAGGGTGGGTCTAATGCTAGGTCTGACTAATACATGTCCAGCTTACATTTCACACTTCAGGTTGCTACCATGATCCAGATAATTCCTGAAGCCCACCTTGCCATATCTTTTACATACATACACACTGATCATCCCTTGCAGCAAGATAGGTACCAACATACTACACGGGTGAGTACTGAGACTGAAAGTATCGGGGTGGGGACACAGATCCTGTCACTTACTCGATCTTCCTAGATAAAGTGTTAAAGATTACCCCTACTGGGAAGAGGCACCACCCCCTGCCTACAATCAGATCTGAATCACATTAAGGCAAAAAATCAGACTGAACCTGATAATGTGAACATAGCCTGGGAAAGCAGAAGATTCATCTAAACACACCTAAAACTGTCACCCCCATTACAGACCCCGTTAGCAGTTTTCTGAACATAGTTTTCTGATCAGAGATTTGAAGTGTTTCATTTGTGGACAGCACTCAACACAATTGTCTTTTATTTGTTTTCTGAAAGAAGTCATGAGAACAGACTTACTCTCAATCCAGAGTGTCACGTTACAGATGTCTTTACGTTTACACTGACAGGTGTATGAGGTCCTCTTCCTGAGATCAACATCAGCGATGCCGAGGGACCAATTTCCCCTTCAGGTACTGATGATGGGAAATCTGAAATCCTTCCTTTGACTGGCATGACGTCTGGTTACACTGAGCCAGAATATGAAAAGGATCATGTTGCACAATCCATCTGACCTCACCAGAGCAGGGAGAAGCAGCAGAGCAGGGAAGAGTAGCAGACTCATGGAGCTTCACCTTCACTTCAGTTATACATGTATCAGACCCTGAAAATAGAAGAAGAAAAGTGGAAAGGAACTTTGTTAAGCCACAAACTTGAGTAAAAATATTGGCCAATTATTGAAAGGCTACTTGTGGCGCTATCAGGTAGTGCAGCTATGCGTCAGATTTTTTTTTACCAATTTTCTCCCCAATTTGGTCATTGCTAGCTAGCTAGGCCTCCCCAGATCACATGATACTACCAAGCTGAGATGGTAAAGGCTAGCAAGTGCTTCCCCTGGAGCTCTACCATGTCTTCTCAAACAGCCACTGATGCAACATCATTGACTCAACATGCTTGAAGGAGAGCACTAACTGCCAATTCTGTTACATCAGCTAACAGATGTTCATGATGGCTAGCATCATTCTGAGTGATGGGGGAAAGGAGGACCATCCTACCCACCCAGAGAGAGAGAGTTATTTTGGACTCTCAGCCATGGATGACTGTGGCACTGAATTTTGCAATATCCCGGTGATAGGGTCAACGCTTAGAACATTGTGCAATGGCTATTAAAAGTTTAATCAAGTTAGCCTGGTGCAAATGGCCATGAGAGCCACTGACTCCAACTAATCCTCGCAATGGGTGTTCATTAACATAGTTATTATTGACATAGTTATCATATAATCTCAGGATAGCATTACTGTCATCATGTTCAGCATGTAGTGATTTATGGCAAAAGGTTTTTTAAAACATTTTCATTTGTCAGTTCCTGTGAATAACAGAATAGGAAATCAAGATGGAAAAAACTGGACAACTGGTCGTGATTCACCACAGTGTTCTTCTGATGATGTGGAGCTGATGCAGAATTTTTGAGTACTGATCGGTGTGTCCTGAGTACGGCAGCCTTTAGATTACTTTCCTGACTCTGTATCTCCCACCGTCAGTCACTTCAGAGTTGAGAGGAACACTACAGTATTTCTGCAGTCTTAACAGAAACACTACAGCATTTCTGAAGAGTTAACAGAAACATTACAATATTTCCTATTTTCTCTATTGATGAAATCTGACTGGGGTGACCAGAAGGAAGGCCATGTGTGATGCTGGGATGGCACTGGCCACCTCTGGCCACCCTCTGCTGAACACTATGTTTCCTAGAAATTCTGAAGGTGATCAGACTGTAGAGCATAACTGAGGATATTTTGTCTTCTTTAATAAAAGAAATACTTTCTCTCACACACACAGGTTAGTAACAGCTAAATCAGCTAAAGTTTAGGTAACACTAGGTTGTCAGGAATAAGAACAGTGCAGTACTTACCAGTAGTGAATGGAGTGGTCAGTAAGATCAGGATACAGAGAGCAGAACTGCAGGACTGCATTACTGACCTACAGACACACACACACACACACCATCAGTACTGACCAGGAGGCATGTAAGGGTCAAAAATCACTTTTAAAGCTGTTTCTCATCATCCCCACATAAGTGTAATGTGATAACAGTAGTAGCAGTTTAGTTAGTGAAGTTTTCCCCCTCCTGCTGGACATGTTTGGTAATGCAAATACGTTTTCTTGTTTGTCTTGTTCTGAAGACATCATCAGTAGTAGCCTGTTTGATAATACAGAGGTACAAGCATGGTTGTATCTGTCGGTTCATCCTGCTCCATCTAACACCTGTTTAAGCCTTTTTGAAGCATTGTCTGTTTATAGATCGCTTCTGACATTTGGTATAATGCAATATTTTATATATGGAAGGTGTTAATTGCATATGTTATTCTCTGTCTTTTGCTGATGTTAGCGGTATGCTAAGAGATAAATAAGAAATGCAGTAGAAATACACATAGCAGTCATTTGTGATAGAGGGTACTTCTATCTGTATCACATTGTTTGTTTTGCTGTTTGGTTTCAGTTTTACCTTTACCTAACTTGCTGCATTAAACAAGTAAACAGTGCTTCCTCTGTGTGGTGAATGGGAAACGAGTTAGCTGCCTGTCAAATTATACGCGGGATATAAGTAGGACAGAACAGATAATCTTTCTGTGGTCATCCTTCCTGGTCACAGCATTGATGATCATATTCTATACAGTCGCTGTCATAGTTTATCACCACTATGTCAGCCCTCACAATACTGTACATGCATCTGTTCCTTACAGGTGTAGTTCATTTTTTAAAGAATGGCTCAGCTGAACTTTAATCTACGGAACTCTGCTGGTGACATCACATATAAATAAAAATAATACGTGGCCACACCATATTTATGCATGGGAATGAGATCCTGATGCGTGGCCACAACTTGGTTAGGCCTGGGAATGAGAGAATTAAGTTGTGGCCATGACTTCTTAAGGTGTTGGAACGAGATCATGAGATCGTTCCTGCGTCCATGACTTAATTTTGTTGTTCCCACGCTTTACTAAGTCGTGTCCATGACTTAATCGTGTTCACGACTTAATTATCTCGTTCCCACACCTTACTTGGTCATGTCCATGACTTAATTATCTTGTTTATTGTCCTTACTAAGTCGTGTCCATGACTTAATCATATCCACAACTTAATTATCTCGTTCCCACGCCTTACTATGTCATGTCAATGACTTAATTGTCTTGTTCCTGCTCCTTACTAAGTCATGTCCACGACTTAATTATCTCGTTCCTGCAGCGTACTAAGTGGAGAGACGTCTTAAATCAGAGCAGGGTGGCTTAGAAACCTGAGGTGAATCCTGTCTGACTCTCTTCTAACTGTATGTTCCAACACTGACGGTTTCAGTTCCTGACTGACCACCGCCCTGCTTCATCATCAGTAATCAGCTAGTTTCACAATGTCAAGGCGAGAAAAGTCTAACAGTACATTCAGTCATGTTACACCACAAGTATAAAAAACAAGTTATTTAGTAACAGATCAGTCCTGAACTGCCCTGCAGGCACTCTCTCAAACACAGAGTGAGTCTGTGGGGGAACATTAGCCAAGTGATCTGAGAAGATCAGAGGAGAATCAGTCACAAAGGACAGAAAGACTGAAGTCAGCTGTGCAAAGGAGCCTGAATAAGCGAGAACAACAAAACAAAACAGAGTTCCAGCAGTAAAACACTCATATTTAGCCACTTATTTCTGCTGACTTTCTACGAAATCGAGTTCCTTGTGAAAAAAGAAAAGGTAAACCCAGCACAAAGGAAAATCCTTCACTGCCCTGGAAAAAAAATCCTGGAAATGTCCACTTCTTCCCCCCCAACACAGCCGGTGTAAATGTAGTTCCTGTCTAATGTGTGTGAGGTTAATAGATGCAGAGTCAGATGACACAGTTCTCACACTCAGAATGTGACGTTTCAGCACTTATTCTATCTCCCTGCAGCTCTGATGGGTAATTTATGTTAATCTAGTGTAAATCTGATTGTACCTGTGGCTCAGAGTTAAGATCTTTTTGTGTTACAAATCAATAACTGCTCTTTTAGCAAAGTTTAACATTATATGAGAAACCAAAACGAAAAAGGAGAAGCAGAAATATATGACTAGATTTTTTACACTAGTTACAATTACTTTACACTCTCAATTTCAACTTATATAAGCTCATACACACAGCGGGGTCCGAAAGTTTGAGGCAACTTTGAAAAACTGGGATGTTTTGCTTTTAAACCTGGAAAGTTTAAGGATTTTGAGAGAAATACTGAAGGTTCTGCACTTTTTCTTGGTCACTATTCAAACCAAATCAGAGTTGTGGCCATGTTGAGGTCAGATTGTTTTAGTCTAATTTCTTTCAGTGAAGTTTGTGTTCAGGAGGATCTGATCTGCCGATCAGACACAAACCTGCGGAGTCCATGCAGCTCAAGCAAAGAGGAACACCCCACCAAATACTAAGAAATTCTGAAATTCATGTTTAAATTTGGTACGTTTCTACTGTTCATTCAAATTGTCATGCTGATAATACACGAAAGCTTTGTATTAAATTAGAAAGGAATACAGAATTGAAGCATTTTCACTCTTAGACTTTCAGATTATGTCATACATAGAAATAAAAGTAGTAAACTGTCACTGAGGTGGGACCCTCAAGGGTCCAACTCTGTACCTTTAGTCAGGGAACATAACTGAACCATAATCCACTGAAATGATATGTTCTAAGCTGTACTGACTCCACACACCCCGTCTCGTCTCCAGGCTTTTATTTTACTGTTCTGTTTTAAAACATTCGGTTATGAAAAGGTACAAATACGAACTTTTCACCTGGAAAAACTTATTTAAGGTTCATAATCAGACTTTAAAACCACTGTTGTAGCTTTGAGGGAACATTTACACTGTTTGTACCTTGATGAGTGAAAAATGTACCTGAACAGAACCTTTATTACTAACAGTGTGTTACAGATTTAGTTTACTGATCAGGATCATGAATCTGTGTGTGAGACTCACCTTTTGAAATGGAAGCCGTCTCTCTGTGTCTCTCCTGTAAACTCTGCTCTCTTTCAGTACAGACAAGCTGAATGTTTTACTTTCCCTTTCTTCAGTCTTGTTTTAGGACTGATTTAGGGAAGTGGGGCTCAGGGCTGGGTCAGGAGGATGGACTGATGTAAACACAAGAGTTTTATTTGACCAGTATCTGTAATAGGTAAAGTAACTGGGACTCAAAAGTGGCCTCCTGAAAGACTACGTAAAATGTAAATTGTTCATATTACAGGCTGTTAAAATTGGTGCAGTTTAATATCTGCTCTCTAAAATGTTCAGTGATGTAAGAATATATCATTTTTATCAGAAGAATAGATCAAATGATGGCTGGCATGTTAGTAAAATCCATTAAAGCACTTCAGTCTGAAATGATCTACCTGCAATAGAAACTGAATGCAACATGCTAAAAGGCCTCCAATCATGTTAGAATAGCTATAATTTAGTGATCAATAACTTAATTAGCCGCTCTGGATTAAACTGCAAAGAGCCTGTAATGGCAGCTTTCTGGGAAAGTTAATCAGCAAATGCAGCACATTAAAACAACACATATCAGCTCAGATGAAGTCAGTTTAAGCACATAATATGAATTTTATATTTTGGTAGTTCATTAAAACTACCAGATATCAGTTCAGATAGGATTAAACTACTCAATCAATCAATCAGTGTACTAAGTAGATATAAAACATTCTAAAACTGTTCAAACATTACTGTGAAGTCCAAGTTCAGAGCTCCAGCAGTCAATCTGACTTTCATTAAGCGGTAATTTCTGTAAACAAATGAATTCAAATTGAGACAAACACAACTTTCACACATTTAAAACATCAGAAACAGTTGATTTAATTTCATTCCTATCAAATATAAAACTCAAAACACTGACACATATTGGCTCTATTTTCCCTGTTAGTACAGTTGTTCGTAACACGTCCTCTGCAGAGACTCACTGCTGGGAGGACAGATACGGTACAGTTAGGAAGACTGTAGAATCACAGACACATGTATGTGTATTACAGATCATCAATACTACTATTATGATGATTAGTCCCCCTGTAGATTTCTCACCAGCATGACTAATCACTAATACATTTACATTAACCCTCTACTGCATCATGAGAGCATTTTTTTAAATATTCAGTTGACTTTTCTGCATGGAGTGGACCTGATTCTTACATTCAAAAACATTTTTTTAGACAAAAATAGTGTGCAGGAATTCTCATAACTAAATAATGATACTGAATGTTAAAGAGATTTAAAAGTGACCACGTACATGCTTTTTATTGACTTACTCAAACTGTTCCCTTTATTGTTAACCCTGTCATTAAATATGTATAATATTAGTGTAAAGTAAGGAAAATGGTTTTGTTGCCCTGAGGCAACATTGTGCAATAGAGGGTTAATGAGGGCGTTGAGTGTGTCTGAAAACTCCCATTTCATTTAAGAAAAAAACTACAAGGGGTAGTGGTTGAAATCCTCAAATAAAAAGAGCATTACTTCATTAACAGCTATCAGCGCTGCTCTGTAGGAGACCCTGCCAGTCTGCAGTGACAGCAGAGGAGGGTAAAGTTCAGCTCCTCACTGCTGGGCTTTAGTTACATTTAGGGCATCATATGATCTTCAAAGAGGGGGGCAATTATTTCTTATCACCCACCCCTAATTCTTCAGTGATATGAAGCTGAAGTCAGATATTCACCAGCTTCTTGTTCAAATTCCCGTTCCACCTTAAATGGTGCAGCAGGTACACTCTGGCGCTTCAGGTGTCAGAACTGCTGGACTGTTTAAGGTGGAACGGGAAAGTTAGTTAGATAGCTGCCGAGATGTTAGCACAGTACTAGAGATTTTTTTAAGCTTGTTATGAAGAAAATGACCAAAATACACTGAAACGACATTAAACTAAGATAAAACAGTGGTTATTGTAATTTTTTAACTGAGAAAATTCTCACATTTGTGGGTTTCTTTGGTCTCTTGTTCAGCCATCTTGCTGGTTTTTCTTTTTTCCCCATAACTCTCTGTTTGGTGTCTCTGAAAAACCTCTGTTTGGAGGGTCATGTAGCTCTAACACTTCGCCCCACCCCTCTATCTCAACTAAAATCTGGACACCCTACCCCTAGACGAGAACACGCAAAACGGAGGGCTAAGTGCTGAGCGGAAGGGGCGAGGGGTGAAATGGGACTGGGCCAAATAAAAATACATACAATGTAAAATACAGTTCACTGTCACTTTAAAGCAGCGTTTAGTAACAGACTATAATACACTTCAATATATTTTCCTACATCAAATCTCCCTGCAGCATATCAATCTATAAATCATAAAAATTTAGCTTTGGAAAGTCTCTCACCTACAGTTTAGGATTAACAGTGAAACACACAGGATTCAGTGTGGGACTTCTCCACTGCCCCTGCTGACCGTGAGTCCACTGTAAAGCCAAACAAAGCAGCCAAGGTTCGTCCTGCACGCCACTGCTACTGTAGCCTATTATTGCTTTTTTGATGTAGCTCAAACTTAAGCACTGGTTTAGGTTCCTTAAGGGAATAAGCAGCTTCATCTGTTTAGCAAGCACCACATTATTAAACCATGCGACAACATGAAAGGGCCAGTCAGTGCCGATTTAGGATGTGGACTAAAAGAATAATAAGAAATCCAGATTATAAGACAGTGCATCTTAAAGGGGAACTCCACCAGTTTTGCAAAATTACTTAATCATGCAATGGTTTAGATGTAAACAAAGTCATTCAGAGTGGTTTGGTGTGAAATGCGCCTTTCTAGAGAAATTTAGAGTCAGAACTGTTCACCATTATATTACTAGGAACCAGACGTCCGTGTGTCTACACTACAAATATCACCATTTTATCTCCTATTCAAAATGACCAGTGAACCTATGTGTCTTATAAGGTTTTATATGTCATGCTGATAATGGTTAAATAGTGCTAAATTCTTTTTTTCTGTGGGTACTATATTTTCCTAACAACGCCCTGCGTGTACCCCTCCGCCCTCTCCGTTTAGGAGAAGGGTGTGACTGCAGAGCCGCAGGCGTACACACCCACAGTTTCACTCCAGCACAAACTTGAAATCTAGGTAAGAAACATTTGTGAGTGAATTAAATTAGTCGTTGTTAGTCACCGATATCACCGTTAGCCGTTAGCTTACAGACTGTCCAAAGTGGCCCATGCGATAAAATACCTGTCTACCTTGCTGTCCTACCTCATAAACTGGTGAGCAGAGTAGAGATCCCTTATCCCTTTTTCTTCTTTAAACTTTGTGTTTTCTGGTTCAAATTGATATGGATCTACAACATTTTGGAAACAGGCCTCCTCGAAGTTCTCTGCGTACTCTGCCATCTTCCAAAATAGGTAAGAACACTGTAAAAATAAGCTGTAAACAGAAGCTGCCGCTGGTGTTAGCCGTGCTGAAAGGCTGAAGCTACAGGCTAGCACGTTAGGTTATGCGCATCAATCTCGTTTGTGATGCGCTTTTGACAGGAAGCACAGAAATAATCCTGGAGGAATAGTTTATACTAAAAATACGTTTCAGGCCAAAACTTTATAACAAAACTATCACAAAACAATGTTGTATAGGTATCAAGCAACGCATTCATAACCAACGCATTCATAACCGTTTGTGTAATAACTTAACGGGATGTAGCTTTTAGAGGCATTAAATGCGTTGGACGTCTGGTTCCTAATACTGTAATGGTGAAGAAATCTGACTCTAGAAAGGTGCATTTCACACCAAACCACTCTGAATGATTTCGTTTACATCTAGACTTAGCCATCATGATACATGCAATCTTTCTTCACTTCATAATACCATCATCAATTTACTCAAGCCAAATTCCACACTTGAAGTACAGACAGGATATTGAATAAGAATTCAGTAGAAAAAATGAGAAAATGTACTAAATTAGTACCAACAACAGTTAGACAGTAAAGTAAAGTGCACAAATAAAAGAATCAGTAGTGCAAGTTAGTATAGACACTGTATAAAACAGGTCAAAAGATCCAGAGGGAGAAAGAGAGAGAGAGAAAGAGAGGGAGAGAGAGAGAGAGAGAGAGAGAGAGACTGGTAATGATCTCTCAGGGATGTTGCTGGTTATCATTAATAAATATCCCCCTCTCTCCTTCTGGACCGTGCCCATTTACTCCGTCCCGGTCGTGGTTAGCATCTCCATTCCTTTCCCTGAACTCCTCAATTTTCTTCCTCTGCCCTAAGATCACCACCAGTGACGACACGCACACAACCACAAGTGCAACCACCAGGAACACCAGGAGTCCAACCATCCACTCTGGCACAGCAGGATCCTGGCGAGGCTCTACAAAATAAAGGCACACACAAAAACTGTCACACACAATAACGGCTCCTATATGAGTCTTAACTTGGATATACAGTTCTTCTACTAGGAGTCAGTGTGCAGCTGCTGAAGATTCGAGAGGGCTTACGGACCTGACCCAGCGCTTCTGGACCCCCTGATAAAGACATCACAACAATATCACAATGCAAGACCTCAAACTGAAGAGCAGTGTGAGTGCAGTGACCTCTGCTCTGGGATTTGATTAATCATCCTATGGTTAGTTTAGCCTCTCCACTCTTCTACTGCAGTATTAAATGTATTAAATTGATGGAGGTGCATTTTTAAAGTAGACCAAATTCATTTAACAGAGACAATATTGAGTCTTGCAGTGAGATACTATTGTAATGTCAGGCTGATGTCTCCTAATTATGCAATGAATATGAAGCGCTAGAGAGGCTGAGCTACACAGAGGATCTAATACACTCAGGTCCACCTTCCTAATGACTGACGCTACCATTAACTGTGGACAGACACCAGAAAAAAGAAAAACAGAATAAAGACAGTGCTAAAAAGGTATTTCACTGACACAGTGCAGACGAGCCCAACCTTAACTCCAACAGCAAACCCCCCGCACTTTCCTTCTTTTCTGAATATTGCCTAAAATATTGCCTGCTGAATTTTTTATATAAAAAAGGCAGCTCAGCAGATAAAGGCTAGTCAACAACTGTGTTCAAATTATTATTAATTTTCTAAAAGATGTTTTTTAAACTA